AGGAGACTGGGATGAGGATCAGCGCCCAAGATTAGCCCTCCCCTTTCCCCACGGAAATTCCTCTCCACACCCTCTCCCTTGGAAAAAGGCTTCTGCCCTGCCCCTTCCAGCCTGGGGGAAAGGGGACAGTGGACACTGCTGAAGTGGGGCAGGCCCAGAGCAAGCTTGACTGCACGGAGCATCTTCTTAAGCAGAGAAAAACCTGACGCCAAAAGGCAACAACTGGCAAAAGGGCAGTTTCCAGGCAGTTCCCGTACGAGAGGCTGCCTGGCCCCACAGGAAAGGAACTACTGGGGGTCTTCCACCCCAGTCCACGTGGTCTGAGCCTCGCCCCTGCCCCCCAGCTACAGCACACTTCTACCTACTGAAAAGGAAGCTTTAATTGGCTAATCAGGTTTATGAGTTTACAATAAACTTTATATTATGTTCCATTTTACATGTGATGGGAGGCCAGAAGGGGCATGGAAGCTCCATCCTGGATGGGGGCAGGGCCCCAGGAGAGGGGCAGCTCTGTCTTTCTTCAAAAAACCCCAGACACACACTACCTTGCACGGTTAGGACACAAAGCTGCATCTTGTGTTTCTTGGAGAACATCTGTTTTCTACGTGGTTGCTAAGGATCGACATCAACTTGACAGCACATAATCAATCAATCGTATCTTGAGGTAATGAATTCCAAAGTTAATTCTGGAACTCTGTGCAGTCGTTCAATTTCTTCACTGAACTTGAAACTCTGCAATTCTCACTTCTCAACGCAAACATCAGGGTTGAAATGGAAAATAGGTGCAGACTTTAAAATGGTTTCTAGAACCTCTGGGCATCAGTGGCGCCAACTCCAGTCCTCACCCTGGTGAGAGGAGAACCCGGAGAGTCTCAGCCGGCCACAAAGCTCTTGAGGGGCCCTGGAGGCACCTCTGGGCCATGTCTCCGTCTCCGTCTCTGTCAGGCAGGCAGGGGGGGGGAGGGGGGGCGGCCCCGGCTGCCTACTGTAGGACTGGCAATTGCCCGTCTCACGCTTTCCTGGCGGGGTGGGGGGGGAGGGGGGGCGGCCCCGGCTGCCTACTGTAGGACTGGCAATTGCCCGTCTCACGCTTTCCTGGCG